ACGAGTTGCAGGATTAATTGATTTACAGACTCATACCTGGGATCCACATATTTTGTCTGACTTATTTATTCCTGAAGATGTGTAGCGAATAAATATGATCCCTGTGAGTCCTGAGTATGAGGACTCATGGTATTGGATGAGTGATCCCAAGGGGATATATACAGTAAAGAATGCCTATAGGCATATTGTGGGTGATTATGAGAATAATCTAGCAGATTTTGATAAATGGGTTGCAATGTGGAAAATAAAAGTCCCCCCCAAGTGAAAAACTTTCTTGTGGAGAGCCATATGTGACATTTTGCCAACAACCCTAAACTTGATATTTAAAAGGGTGGAGGTGGAACCAACATGCCCAATGTGTGGTTTAGATCATGAAGATGTGTTACATGCTTTAGTACTCTGTAAATATTCTAGACTTGTTTGGAATATAACACAATTGCCTATTATTAATATTATTGCAGACTCTTTTACAACATGGCTAAAAGGGGCTATGGCGGTCTTAACGGAGGAGCAGACCCGGTTAATGGTAGCAATATTATATTATATTTGGAGAACCCGGAATTCAGCTGTCTGGAAGGGATCAATGATGCGGCCTGCCCAATTAGCCAGAGCAGCCACTGTAGCACTACTGGCATACGGCACTGCCCATGTCCGCCGAACCGAGCCGGCAGCGGCATCGGAGCACTTAAACGGTTCAGGGGAGGGCAGTCTACGGTGTTATGTAGACGCGGGTTTCCGGCACGACACGGGCGAGGCTACGTACGTCATGATAATAATAGCGCCAGATGGCTCTTTTGTGGCAGCAAGGAATGGCAAGTTACCGGTTTGTTTTTCACCACTTATGGCGGAGGCCCAGGCATACAAGGAAGCACTATCCTGGCTACTTGAACGAAGCAACACATCAGTAAGTTTACTCACGGATTGCATGGAATTGGCTACGATTATTCGACACCATCACACGCTGATCCATTCGTACGTTGGGGTCACAATTGACCAGTGCAGAACGTTTATGTCTTTATTTAATCGTATTACTTTGGATTACATCTCTAGACAGGTTAATTTACATGCGCATACTTTAGCTACGTTAGCATTTACACAGGATCAAGTTATGTACTGGGATGCTATCCCACCTGACGCTATTTCGACTTTGATTCATTAATACAATCGCAAGATTGACCTTCAAAAAAAAAAAAACTCATTTCATGCAATTCGTTCAATTTGTAGGTTTTTTCAATTTATAACAAGTCACCTAAATTTAAAATATTATTAAAAATAATTTTAAAAAATAATTATTTAAAATTAAAAAAAAAAAGGTCTTCGCCAGAAACGAAGAAAGTTACTCCGTCAAATCGGACGGAGAAGTCAACGGGTTTCTCCGTCCAGATCGGACGGAGAAACTGTAACATCCCATTTTTCTTAAACTTAATTAACAAACTTAACCTTGGAAGGTAAGCTAAAGCAGTGGAATAAACTTACTAAACAACTTAATTAGATATGTCACCGCCACAATCACCCTTCACGGTGATTGCACAGGCTAAGGATAACAAACTAAATCATTAAGTCTTACTAATCATCAATCAAACTAGGGGATAAGACTGCGGTGTCTAGCACCATAAAAACAAATGGGTAGTCAACTACAAGTCCCGAAAGTAAAACAACATCAAGAGTTTTATACTACACAAGCTAACTAATGCTAGTCTAGTCTAACTCGTACTCTCTCTCACGAACTAGGCCCACCTAAAAGGGGTTAACGAACGATAAGTAGAAAACAAACCCGTTAGCACGAAGCTAAGTATAACTCTACTCAACCCTGTAAAGTACTACAATATAGCTCCGTTAAAAAAAGATAACAATTTTGACTAACATTGCTTCTTCCACAAACCCAGAATCTCCGAACGGGATTTTGATTAGTCCATGATGTTTGGATGCTCCATTGCGTGCCACACTGACAAAAATGAACAAGAACATCACTACTGAAAATTATGAAATTTCCGACCACCTGAAAGTCATCTTAAATCAAGTCGAAAGCCTTGTTCCGACCACTTTTGGTATCCGGAAAAACCTTTATTGCTATTTTCGACCACTTTTTGCTTTCAACTTGATTTAAGATCATTTTCAGGTTGTCGGAAATTCCATAATTTACATCAGTGCATCTCCATAGTGAAATCTTTACCTTGGAAAGTTTGTAAATGAAGTTGAAGATGAACTTTTTTGGCCTTCTAGTTGATTATCCCACATTTGGATCGTTGATTGAGGAGAGCAAAAACCTAATTTGAAGAAAAACGTGTGCATGCTGATGAAAGGGAGTCACATATTAATTAAATTGGAGTTGCAAAATCTGAATTGCCCGTTTTACCCTTCATTTTAACACTTACTTCACATCAAAGTTAATAGATGGTTAAAATTCAACGGCATGTGAGTAGTATCTATTCACGAGTCAATGCCCCTGGGGTTTAAACCTGATACTTCTCATTTGAGAAGCCACAGCTATTCCGCTCGACCACAAGACATTTGGCAAGTTACATATTATTATATGTCAAATTAGTTAATTGCACATTTTTAACAAGTATAAATATCCAATTAAATATTTTTTTTAGTTCGAGAGTCTAATTTAATTTTAGTATATAGTTGGAGGGTCTATTTGACCCTTATCTCAAATATAATAATAAGGGAATTTCTCCCTGAATTATATGTTTATAGCACATTTCCCCCTGAATTATTTATGTAAGCACATTAGCCCCCTCAATTATTTTAAAAGTGATGGTTTTTCCTCTTGATATATTAAATTGACATTTCTACCCTTAAAGTAAACATTGTTTTCTCTCTAACAAATTATTGCTTATACATAGGGATGACCACGGTTCGGTTCGAACTGAACCAGACACTATTGCAATCGAATTGAAAAATTTCGATTATGATTCAGTTCTAGAACCCAATATTTGAATTTCAGTTTATTAAATTATGAATCAAAAAAACTAGATCCTGAACCGTGAACCAGCGATTCTGGATCCGTTTCGCGGTTTTGAACCATTTTTAATATTTTTTTTATTTTTTATTTTTAAAATAGTCAATTCATCGATAAATGTATTTTATTTTTTCAATTCGGAACATGAACCGACAGTTCTGGTTCGCAATTTTAATAAACTCTAAGGGGGTGTTTGGTTCATGGAAAATGTTTTTCAAAGGAAAACATTTTCCTTAAGGTGAAGGAAAATGTTGTTTTATAATGTTTGGTTCATGGAATTCATTTTTCATTTCCATGGAATTCCTCAAATTTGAAGAAAACAAAATCCTTGGTTGGACCAAGGATTTTGTTTTCCATAGAAGATGGGAAGAAAAAGTGAATATATTGCCTATTTTACCCTTGCTTTCTTTTTTAATTATATTACTTTTAGGGAAAAGGGTCAAATAGGCCCTCGAACTTTAGCTTAAAAGTCAATTAGACCCCTAAACTTTTTAAAGGTGCAATTACACCCATCAACAATTCATTTAGGTGCATTGAAGTCCAAAAACAAGTTAATGACATGCTACTACAGGTCATTAGGGTTTAGGCCACCTTCTGGCAAAAAAAAAAAAAAAGTGACCGGCGACCGACCGACGAAATTTTCAGCAAAAAAAAAAAAAAAAAAAAAAGTGACCAGCGACTGACGAATGGTCGCCGCCGGTCACTTTTTTGCCGGAAATTTCGCCAGTCACTTTTTTTTTTTTTTTTTGGTCGGAAATTTTGCCGGAAGGTGGCCTGAACCCTAATGACGTGTGATAACAGGTCATTAACTTATTTTTGGGCTTCATTGCACCTAAATAAATTGTTGATCGGTGTAATTGCACTTTTAAAATGTTTAGGGGCTTAATTGACTTTTAAGTTAAAGTTCCTATTTGACCCTTTTCCCTTACTTTTATTAATTTGTAGGGGCATATAGATCTTTATACTCATTATTCCTTACAATTCTAAATCTAACCAAACAATAAAATTAGTATTCTCAGTAATTCTTTTTCCACCAACCAAACAATGAAATTCATCTTCCTAGTAATTATTTTTCCATGGAATTTCAATTCCACTTCCCTTAAAATATTTTCCGCGAACCAAACGAGCCCTAAGGGGATGTTTGGTTCTTGTGTTTGGTTCATGGAATTTATTTTCCATTGAAAAATGAATTCCTCAAATTTGAGGAAAACAAAATCCTTGGTTGGACTAAGGATTTTGTTTTCCATAGAAAATGGGAAGAAAAAGTGAGATGGAATGCCTATTTTACCCTTGTTTACTTTTTTTAAAAAAAAATTATATTACTTTTATTAATTTGTAGGGGCATATAGGTCTTTATACTCGTTATTCTTACAATTTCAAATCTAACCAAACAATAGAATTAGTATTCCCAGTAATTCTTTTTTCAACCAACCAAACAATGTAATTGTTTTTTTTTTTTTTTGAAAAATCAAAAAGAGATATTATTAGATCAAATGTTGAATACAAAATGGAATAGAGGAAATCCAAACAGAAGAATCAGATTGTGAACGAGCCGCCCTGGTCAAAGCATGGGCTAGCTTATTCTCTGATCTTGGAATAAAATTGAAGGACACTACTTCAAAGTGTCCATGAAATTTCAATTCCACTTCCCATAAAATATTTTTCGCGAACCAAACGAGCCCTAAATATCAAGTTTTGATTCTAAATTGTAATTGAAATATTTCGGTTAGGTTGCTATAGTGTCTGTTCGGTTTGAATTAAATCGTGGTTATAATTTGTTGGATAAGAAAAATAAATAAAATATTTATTCTAAAGATAAATATATTCATTTAACATTTCAGAGAAAAAAATAATTACTTAAATAATTTAAAAGAATAAAGTAAGTATATAACTCAGGGAAAAAAGTACAATTTTTCCTTGTAATAATATATGATGGGCAACTTAGTTACTTAGATTTGGGTGTGGATAGATTGATAAAAGAGTTGGGTGTCGGGCAGAAAACGAGTTTGATCAAACACCGATCATAGTTGACATTTCCATAAATCTTACTACAACTTTCCTTCCTTCCGCCTTAAGCATTCATTACACGTATCCTTCGCTTTCTTCGTCACTCTCTCTCACGCGCCACCGCCGGGAAATGGGAATTTCGTTGAGTAAACGGCAACAACACCACCAGCATCAGCCTCCACCACCGTCTCTCCCGCAACTTCCGCCGCCGCCGCCGCCACAGCAACCACCATCATCTTCATCCGTTCCCCCATCTCTCGCGCCGCCGCCGTCAAACCCAAGCTTTTCTTACGGAGCGAACGCACCCTACTCTGCGCCCTCCCAAAACCCTTACTGCTTGATCCCTGCTCCTTACCCGCCTCACTCAAACGGCCAGTTCAATTACGGCTACAATTACCCCAACAGACCTGTGATCTACCATAGCAGTTATCATCCTCCCTATTACCTACCTAACGCTTGGTCCGGTTACCGCCCCCCGCAGCATGTGCCGCCGCCTCTGCCGGCTGTGCCATATGTGGATCACCAGAACGCGAAGAAGATCAAGAATGATATAAATGTCCACAAGGATACTATAAAGCTGGAAGTGGATGAGAACAATAAGGATTGCCATTTGGTGTCATTTGTCTTCGATGCCTTGGTGGATGGAAGGTATAATTTTGAATTTGTTTTATTGTAACTTTGATGTTTAAATTGATATTTGATTGAGTGGAGTGTGCAGGATTCAAAAATTTCAGTAATTTAGCTTGATTTAGTGCGGTTCTTGGTTGACATAGTTTCTGTCCAATGCTTAATTATGATTAGCATAGTAATTGGTTTGATCTACCAAGTGGTATCAGAGCAGGGTCACAGGTTCGAGTGAGATGGTAAGGCTAGCAGATGCTGGGGAAATTGTTGGGCAGTCCAACACGAGGTGGCTGAAAATGTTGCGAAATAAAGTTGCGTTTTGGCTACGAGCTATTGCTTTTGACGTAGTGATCCTAACTGTTTCTATCTGTATAGAACGTCTAAAAGAAATTTCCAATTGGTGCTCATCAGTATATAGGTTGGATGAAAGGTAGATCAACCAAGAGGGCAAGGGATTGCTTAAGTTGCCAGTCATTTGATATAATCAGAAGGTTAACTTTGCCCCTTCTGGGTTTTATTCTTCGAGAATAGGTTGAGCCATTGAGTGTTGTCAAATGGAGAAGATCGTGTTACATGATTTCTGTCAAATAAGAGTATAAGATGAATAATTGCCTTTTCTATCTCCATCTTTATGCTAGAGTGCTGGACTGTTATTATGTGCCAATATACCTTTAGTTGTGACAACAGAAAGGCCATATCTTTACATCCAGGGTTAAATTTAATGACTCAAAATAATTGTAAAATACGCTTATTGATTGCTTTTAGGCCTTTTTAAGTTTGAAATCTAGAGACTAGAGGAATAATTTACAGAGTAGTGATTCTCCATTCATCTCTTGTGATGATTATGTGACATTGGTTGGCTGGCTTTAATTCTTTTTAGCTGGACTTCTGTTTGGATGTTATTGTAAATTCTATTCTATTCTTTTCTGGAATCCATCCATCTTCAGTAGTCATCTTGGCATAGTCCAGAATTATCTCATTTTGATACAATAATTCAGGGAAAAGTTTGCACTGTATTCCTGTGCATCATGTTTTGGGAATGAAGTCATAACATCCAGCAAGCCATGTGCCCTCCTGGAGTGAAGTGGTATTATAAACAGTGTCCTTAAACATTAGAAGGAAGTAATGTTCTAACCATCTTAAGATAGATACAGCTTCTTCTTTGAGGTTTACAAATTGAATTAGTTCTGCTTTTGATCCCTTGAGGCCTTGAGTATAAACTTTAGAAGGAAGTGAATGCTCTAGTCATATGAAGTTGTTCCACCAGTTTACTCATATGTTGATATCTTAGCATGAGAGAAGTTTCTTCTTGTTCATATAAAATTCTTCTTATATAAAAGAATTCATAATTCATTGTATTCTAGGTTTATCAATGAATATAATGAAAGTTTGAAGATTTACTCCCATCCACACCCCGCACCATCGACTATCTCCCCTTTTGGATCAGACTATACCTTATGCAAATAATATTTGTCTTATAGACTTTCATTTTTTTTCGTGATTGCAGTATTTCCATTTTCTACTTTGCAAAGGGAGGAACCGACTGTACATACACTCCCGTGTACACTGAGATAAAGCCAGTGAGAGTACCATTCCAAAAAGGATTGGGCCAAAAATTTTGCCAGCCTTCAGGAACTGGTGTTGACTTGGGCTTCTTTGACATAAATGACCTATCAAAGCCCATTCCTGGAGAAAATGCTTTCCCGCTAGTTATAGTAGCAGAGTCATGTGCATCAACTTCAGCGGATGAACAGCCTAATGAGCAACAGGCCAACAAACTCCCGAATGCACAGATCACGGAGGCTATTATAGAGAAGAACAACGAGGACCACTTTCAAGTGAAAGTAATCAAGCAGATTTTATGGGTTGAGGGGGTCCGTTATGAGCTGCGAGAAATTTATGGAATTAGCAAACCAGATGAAGAAACCATCAATGATGACTCGGGAAAAGAGTGTGTCATTTGCATGACTGAACCGAAGGATACAGCAGTTTTGCCTTGTAGACATATGGTAAGATTATCATTTTCATTCCTGCAGTTTTTCTTACTTGTAATTTCAGTAAAAAAGATATGTCATATAATGTCTCTTAGATGTAGAAATGTAATTGCTAGAATACCTTTATTGATGCTACTATACATCATACATGTGCCCTTTTTTTGCCTCATTGAGTTTATTAGATATCCTTGACGACAATTTATAGAAGTTTAGACATTATTGTTATTCTTATTGCCCTCCAAAAACTCTTCCATTCATCAGTATCATCTCCCATCTATATCCTTTCTGATAAGCTAGAAATTATATATAAAAAGATGACAAGGTGGTCGCTGATAAATAATGAGCAAAATAACAGAAGAATCTCGAAAACCTATACAAGTTTGAGCCTATCTGGAAATTTGATCAAAGAAATGGCACTATTAGGACTTAGGAGACTTCCCTCGTGACCAAAAGAATCATCTTTCACCTATTCTTCAGTGAATGAAAATATGGATTCATTTTTGGAGAGATGTACGGAAGAATTTTTAATTAACGTTTGAAAATCTCACTTTCTCCAGCCAGTAATGCCTATTTCTTTCGAACTCTAATTTTTTTAATAAATTCTTTGTGACTCACTTTGGTGTGTCTTGCAGTGTTTATGCAGTGAGTGCGCCAAAACTTTGAGGCTTCAATCAAATAAGTGCCCAATATGCCGCCAACCCATTGAAGAACTTCTGGAGATTAAGGTTAACGAAGGTCCTAATGAAGGTAGTCCCTCAATGTTCACTACATCATAACGTATTTCTCTTCACTTACTTTTCAGCCATTACGACAAACTAAGCACTATATGAATGCCAAAAATATCATGCTAAATCCATTGTCTGTAGAACGAACAATTTCTCCAATCAATGGCTTACCATTTTCTTTTCATTTCCTTTTTTATCAGCTTCGTAGCATCAAAATAAGCTCGGATATGGCAAGGCAAAATCTGTGTATATGTGTCTGCAAAAGAATAATAGTTGGCGTTAGCCCGTTTTCATCATAGTTTTGTAACCAGGTGCCTTATCAAATTCACCAGGGATTGTATATAATTTATGAATAAGAAAGGTTTTCCAAATATCTTCATATTCTTTCTGGTTTGACATCCTTTTGAAACAGTTTCATCTTTCACCTTGGGCATGTTTTTCTTATAATGTTTGCATTGAAATTGTGTGAAAGTTGTTGGCTTTTCTAGATGAAAAAAAAAAGGAATTTTGGGCTTAGAAAAGTGAAGTAGCATGGGCATGAAAGCAGTGGAATATGTGTTTCCCAAGTAAAGTAAGTATATGCATTAAGGTTTTGGCTTATTATTGTTGGTATGATTTGACAAAAGGCTGGAGAAGTGTCTGAAAGACCAAAGAATCTATTGAAAACATTTGAATGTCTGAATGGAACACAGACAATTCTGCATGGCCTTAAAGTTAAAGGTAATCCAGCTCTGATCCCAAGGATCAGTCCTAAGACTAAAGATCTTTTAGTGTTGTCTTGTTCACTGTTGACACACTTTTTTTTTTAATTAATATTTATTTATTGTTTTTGTATTTACACACAACTTTTGGCCAATTCTTGGGCAATTTCTTTTTTTCCTTTCATTGATTTTGTTCAATTTTTTCATAGCTCATTTGTTCATCTCTATATCTTAAAAGGATTTCACCCAATTTAGAGGGTCTCCATTCATTTACAGGCTTTCAAATGCTCAAATTTTTCATTGAGTAATTATTAACAAATTAACCATCTTTGGTCCTTTAACTTTTAAGTTAATTACTCATGGTCTTTCAATTTTTAGATTTGTAACCATCCTTAGTCTTAACTTTGTCCTTATTTAAACTAACGAAATGACCACATGTGATTAAATTTGAAAGCTGAAAAATCATCAGTGGTTAAATTAAAAATTTATGACTAAATATGTCAGTGTCAATATATTTGAATGACCTTGCTGGTATTAACTTGTTATTTTATTAAAAAGTAAGTGAAATGACTATCTTAGATGAGTTGTTAGGTAACTATCAACTTCATGGGATTTAATTTTAAATTATTTTGAGTAAAGTGAATTTATTATTTTGAGTTAAGTGAATGTAAACTCAATCTTCTTTTTTTTTTTTTTTCCAAAAAAAAAAAAAAGTGAAAAAGTGATAATCAAAAGTTGAAAGATGCTTTGATAATACTAGGCCGGGAGCTTTTGGTACATTACTAGTCAACATCAAATTAATAATGTTGAATAAATATGTTCACAAGGTTGAACAATGTTGTATGTATCTCTTCGCCCTTAAGAGGGTGGTTGGGACGTGGGACTTGGTAGCGTTTAATGCATCAATCTTTCTTTGCTTCCAATATTTGTTTTAACATTGCTTTTCCACAAATCCAATCATATATTTCACTTTCGTGCAAGTTTTAATTTCATTATTGTTGGGCGTAAGTCGGTTAGTCGAGTTTAGCCTCTATTCGATTTGAGACATGACGCTATGATTTATCATAGAGAAATGTTTAAATGATTAATGTTCACCTACTTATCATCAATTAGAAACTAAATAGTCAAAGAACTCTGTGATTAACAATTATGATCTAAAGAAGCAAACCTAATGTAGATAGTTTTCGACTTAGATATATTTGTAATTCATAAATAAATTGTGTATACTTTCGTAATGTGGCAACTCACTATCAATTGTCGAGGGTTGTCTTCTGCTTTTTGTTTTTGCTTTTTCTTGCTGTCCAATTAGTAGGAGACACGTGATGGGTCCCGAACGAATTGTGTCATTTTCCTTCAAATATAGAGGTGTTTACCTTGCTTGTATGTGAGATAGCGTAAGAATAGCAATAGTTTTCCACAAAATTAATGTAGATAACTTTTGATTTAGATATATTTGTAATTCATAAATAAGTTGTATGTATTTTTGTAAAGTGACAACTCACTATCAATTGTTAGAGGGGGCCAACCTCTGTTTTTTCTATTTTTGTTTTTTTTTTTTCTTTTACTTTCTGCCCAATTAGTAAGAGATGCATGATAGGCGTGTATTTTCTAGCAAATTTTTTACATTATAAAATTTTACCTTACGTGTACTTGAGGTAACGTAAGAAGAACAATAAATATTCACTATGTAACATTAGCTTTGAATCACACTGGTCTGTATGAGATTAGTTTAATGGTTCAATAGACAGTATTTAAGAGAAGAGATCAAAGTTCGAACTTCGATGGTGTCATGTGAGGATTATATATGCTCAAAGTGGATAGATTTCTTCTGCACACCAGCATTTGGCCCTATCTATTGATTTACATATTGTCAAATGCTTTGTCGGGTCGAGGTGTGAGACCCTTGGAATTAGAAATTCAACTTTGGGAGAAGCTTTGAATCACACTGGTCTACACATTTCAATTCGTAAGGGGTTGTTCATGTCCAATCATCAATACTGGATGGATAACACTACTTTTTTGCAATCATTATATTATACTCTAGACCATTAATATACAATGCAAGTTCATATTTATCGTACTATATATTCGTTTTTAGTATATTACTTAAAAACAAACTTATAATATATTAAAAATAAGCATTCAGTATATGAAAATTGAACATTGAATACTCATTAGTGGTTCATAATATAATTATTGACTTTTTTTTTAGGGTAAAGGGTTAATAAGTATGCAATTATACCATACACTATGGTCCACATTGCGTGGTGAAATACTAATTAGGAAAAAAAACCATTCTTAATGACGTATAAATCATGTTGTAATTCTCTCAAACCAGACGCTTTAATTGTAAATATCAAAGAATTGTATCATAATTGAAATGTAATTTACGTCAATCAAATGGGTTGTAAAAGTAAGAGGATATATCATATATGGAACCCATTTCTCATGTCACGAGAGGAATGTCGCAATTTTTGTATGAGTTTGTGATTCCACAAAATTGTTACGTTACAACTTACAAGTTGCATCTAAATCATCAACAGCTAGCTAGCTAATCAAACGACAAAAGCAAGCAAGGAAGCATTATCTGGGGGATGTTGTGCGTCTCCTCGTCCGACAAGGCCACGTCTTATTCGGGACAATGGGACACTCTCAATAATTCAATTAACCTGCGCCTGTCTTCACGCCTTTACCCTCATCGTTGCCCCCCACTTGCATGCTCTTTAATTTACTGCTCCAAGGCTCCAACTTTTTTTTTTTTTTTTAATCACTCTAGTTCACCTAACACACTTCAATTGTATCACGTTATTTGCACCAACGTTTAGAGTATACGTGAGTGATTAACGGGTTATTTGAATGACACGTGGTTAGACTGATTCAACTGCTCAATTACTTTAATCGTAAAACTTTCAACGGACCCAAATTGGAGGTTTGCTATTCAGCGCCTTCAATCCCATTCACACCGGTCAAATGCAATCGTTATACCATGCACTAGGACACACAATGCATTGTGTGTTTTGGTCTAGAACAGACGTTTCTAACGCACGACACATCGGATAAGTAATTTTTTAAAATTTTTATTGTGAAACTCACAAAATCCTTGTATTATTGTAAAAGGATTAATTTTTTGTTCTTTCCTATCTTCTCTCCCATCCACCTTAACAGGGCGTTTGGTTGGAATGGAGGAATTAAGGGGAAAATGAATTATAATTCGATGGAAAAAGAAAAAAAAAAAAGGTAGAATAAAGTAGGAATTAAAATTACAATGTTTGGTATGCAGAAATAGGATTACAGGGAATTGAAATGGAATAAGTGATACAATGACTAAAATGCCCTTATGTATTAATAAATGAGGGAGTGATGTGAATAATGACAGGGGTAAAATTGTCTTCACAACAATTTATTTCTCCCATTCCCTCACTAAGACTGTGTTTGGAAACTCGGAAAATGATTTCTGAAAATCATTTTTCCGAGTTTTTGGTGTTTGGCTACACCTGAAAAATTCAATCAACGAAAAACATTTTCCGTTGACTGAGGAAAATGTGCTCAATTTGGCGGAAAATGACTTCCGCCAAATTTTGGCGGAAGTCATTTTCCGCCATTTCTATTTCATTTTTTTCTTTTAAGCTTCTGGCGGAACTGGTTTCCGCCGGAAACCATGGCTATGGTTTCGGTGGAACTGGGTTCCGCCGGAAGCCATAATTTTTTTTAATAGTTTTAAAGATTTAAAATGTATTTTTTATTTTAAATAAAATAATTAAAATATTTAATAAAACCATTCTACTCATTTTTCAGAAAACGAATCAAACATAGCAAAATAGTTTTCCAAATGCAACCAAACACTGGAAAAGAAAAAGTTTTCCAAAAATGACTCATTTTCCACAAATCATTTTCCTGCTTTCCAAACGGATCCTAAATTAGAATTCCTAAAGGAGTGTCATGAATAAGTGAATGAAGGGAATTACAATTTGGTTCAACCAAATAACATAATTAAAGAAAGAAACGAATTGCAATGCAACTACAATGAAATTACATTCAACCAAACAGGCTGTAACTTCTTTCTCATACAATGTATGAAAAAACTCCTCAAATACTTTTGTTGGAGAGCTGTAAGTAGCAATCACAGTCACGCAGGCCTAATTTTGATAAAATGGGTCCACTATATTGGGGTGTCCTGTCAGAGTACCAAACTGTACCACTAGTATTGATCAATTATTTTTCTACCCTATAAAAATAATAAACTATTTCATCTATAATGTCATTTTCCCCCCTCACTATGAAAGTAGACCTACTTAATTATTAACAACACCCCATTGTATAATAATTGATGAGATAAACTCTACTTTTAGGTTCTGCTTCCATATCTTCCTGGATTCTTTCTTATTAATTTTTCTATCTTCTAACAGAATAATGAATACAATGAATTTGAATATGATTGAATGCAACAGCTCAACTAGTTGTTAGATAGATACTATGAACTTTCATCCAATCTATTCTTCAAACCCTCTTTTTAACACTAATTTGTCCTAATTGTAATTGGATCCAACAAAATTACATCACACACAATAACTTTCTTATGTGCAATCATGCTCCCTAGTTTTAAATATAATTCATTATTTGAACAAATGTACTTTTTTCTCAATATATAAAATATAATTTAATTTTTCTTTTAAGATATCAATCAACAGTAGTCCTAAATTGTATATGATACAATAATATATGTATGTTTGGTTAAATCAGATATTGTTAATGTTGACGTTAATAATTTTT